GAAAAGCTTGATTTCAGACATTGGGCTCTGCTGCTTTCTTGCCGTATGGATGACAAAAATGGGGTTAAAAAAAAAAAAAATATGTTCAGGAATACCAACGTAGTTTCCACAGCCATTTTTTTGAAAAAAAAAAAAAAAAAAGAAAAAAAAGAGAGATATAAATTGTGTTACTGACAATTATTTTCACACATTTGTATGATGTGGTCCCCTAACAGTTAACTAAAAGACATATCTTTTCAAACATGTTTCTTTCGGGCCCAAGCCAACAAAACCGAACAAGACTAATGGGAAGAGCACACCTTTAAAAAGATTTCATGAAGATTGTTCGTCTTCTCAGCAGTATGCCATAGCATAGAAAATGCTAGCATTTCTATAGCATAGCATAGAAAAGAAACTGTTTTACTGTCATGCTAGATATACTTACTGCGGAAATGTAATTGCTCACCAATTGAAAGGTCAAGTGCAGGCAGCATTAATCTCTTTTAAATTTATGTATGGGAAAAGCTTCCAGTTGTTTTAGGACAGGATACTCTTGTACTGCTTCTATAGTAAATTCATAGCTATTCTGGGAAAGACAAACTTGCTGTAACAGGGCACATTTCAAGTGAAACAAAGCGTCCTTTGCTGTAAGGTGATGGATGCTTTCTACTGATCTCATGTTTCTGTGGTGTATGTTAATTCTTTGTATCAGAAACACATCTTTTAGGGGTTGGTTCAGAAGAAGTGTTGACAACATGAAAAATACTAGCAGTCTTTTTAGACAGCTTACTAACTGCTTAGGATTACTGAACAGACACACACACCCCCAGTTTCTCAGTGGATTATATAGGCTTATATGACATACAGGTACATCATGTAATCATACATTATTTCAGACTGCACTTCACCCACCTTGTCTAAACAGTTCTCTTTTTTAAAGGAAAATGTGGGAAAAAAAATTTGAAACTTAAAGCTTTCAAACATTTTGACAGTACTTCTAGCATTTTAGCACCCCCTTCAAAAATCAGGGCTCATTTTAACAAGATACACCAGATTTCTACCTTTTTTTATCATCCTATTTCCATTTTGAGGATAATGGCAGAGTGCCTTCCAAAGACAGAGGTGCTGTCCTGTCTTCAGTGTATTAGTAGAAGATTTCTGGTCTAGTGATGGATCTAAGAGCTCCTGCTTGGTTCTTCATCCTCTCGTACCACTTGCAGAGACACACACAGTCATACAACCTTGAGATCAATACTAGACCTGGCAGCAGGCAGAGAGATTTCAAAGAATTTTAATTGCTTTTTTGAAAGTGCAACAAAACTTCACAGCTAGACTGTCTGGGCAGAATCTTCAAAGCACTAGGGTTTTCCAATGTGAAAGTTTGAGCTTTCTGCCCCCTGCCCCTCCCCAGCTCCCCCCTCCCCCCCTCCAACCTTCAATAGCTTATTTGTGAACCAGAGCACAACCATTTACTAGCTGGTTCCTATTATTAGCAGGAAACAGTTATTTTAAAACAGAAAGCATAATGAAACTTTTTTTGAGTGTCCCTTACTGTCTCTCAATTACACAGCTTACATAGTGGAACATCTTTCAAAGACATTGAGGTGCTCGAGCCGGTTCAGAGAAGGAAAACAGAGCTGGTGAGGAGTCTGAAGAATAAGTCTTATGAGGAGCAGCTGAGGGAGCTGGGGTTATTCAGCCTGGAGAAAAGGAGGCTGAGGGGAGACCTTTTCACTCTCTACAACTACCTGAAAGGACGTTGTCGAGACATGGGGGTCTGTCTCTTCTCCCAAGTCACAGGCAATAGGACAAGAGGAAACGGCCACAAGTTCCACCAGGGGAGGTTCAGATCAGATATCAGGAAAAATTTTTATATTGAAAGGGTTATTAAGCACTGGAAAGGGCTGCCCAGGGAAGTGGTTGAGGCACCATCCCTGGAGGTATTTAAAAGACACGTAGACATAGTGCTCAGAAACATTGTTTAGTGATTGTTTTTATCATTTAGGTTGATAGTCAGACTAGATGATCTGAAATGTCCCTTCAGACCTAGACAATTCTATGATTCTATGACAAAACATCAGCAATATGGAAATAAGAATTGAGTGGGTGTTGCTTATTGTCTGTGATTTCATGAATTGTCTTGAAATTGTTTGTCATGCCTGGAAGCAAGTTAAGTGACAGAAGAACCAAGATGATAGAAAATGACAGAGAATAAATGAATTATATTTCCTATTTTTTTCTTTAATTCTGTTGCTTTTATCCATTTGAAACTGACATAGTTTTGTAAAGTGCTTTCAGGTACTCAGCACTGAATATTGTTTTTTAGTTCTGTAAATCAGAAAAAAATTTACAAGGAAACTCAAGGGAAAGAAGAACCCAGCTCTGCAAAATGTTAGATGAGGGCATCCAGCTCTCCTTTTAGTGGACGAAGATTTTGCAAGACAAGGTCAACCAAGTCAAGAGGAAGCTGGAAGAGATATGTAAACTGTTTAAGAGAAAATTAATTACTCAACAGAAATATTTTTTTAAGAGCACTGAACATTTTCCATTGTTGAAATAGTGAAGCTGCTGTTCAATTTTAAGTTATTGGATTCATTTTAAGAGATAATAAAATTTCATGGTCTGTCTTAAGTGGGAAGTCAGAGTAAATTACTATGTTTTGGCTATGAAGTCGTATTAATGCAATTAAGGAATCTAAGTCAAACCTAAATCTTTGAAGTTTTTATGTTTCAAAAATAAAAGCCAAGGTGTTTGTGCACCTGGATATGAGAAAAAAAAAACCACTTGGAAATTCTTGTTTCCCTCTACCAGTCTCCTGGCATCTCTATTTTGTCATTTGTACTCTTTCTCCACTTCCAGTCAAGAGAATAAAAAATAGGAATAAAACCTTCTGATCACATACTGTTTTTATTTCACCTCTTCTAGTAGTAGGCTTTTTTTCTGTGAGCTTTAATTCCTATTTAAATGAACTTTTAAATCATAATACGATAGATCTATCACTAATGTAATTATGTTTTATCCACTATTACTGTGGGTGGGTGGGTGGATGACAGGTACAGACTGTACTTTCCTTCAAGCAATTTCAGCATAACTCCAGGGGATATTTGAGAAGGTATGTTAACAATATTTTTGAATTTCCTTCCTAGTTGAAAAGTTTTATGCACGTGTTGACCTACTGCCCCAAATCTAAATTGGAGAAGAAAAAGCTGTATATATTGCACATTCATTACATTCAGAGTTAATATACATCCTGATGTTTAACTTCCACACCAAAGGCAGAAAAATTTTCAAGAGAGTCATAGCTTTAGACCATGAAGATAGTCCTATTCTCTAGATGCAAATAATTTAAAGTACAAAAACTATTTTGAATTCACAGTTGATTTACTCTGAGAAATAACATTTTCCAAGATTCTTTCTTTAAACTATGTCCAGCAGTCATAAACTGGGGAAGAAATTAAAAAGTCTAAAAATGTGAAGTCAGCACAGTCATTTGAGGGCTTGCCTCTGTTTTCCTTTAAGCTATCTGCAATACTGTGGTTGATCTCAGAAGTTGAACTGAGAAAACTCATTCTTGGCAATCACACATTTCTTCACTCCCATTCTATTTGAACAGATCAAGTCCAAAGCAGAATATACGTATCTTGTTTTTTAATTTTGAGGACACAGACATCTACTGTATTGACAAAAAATGGAGCTAACCACAAAACATGGACTGCCATTTTCAGTTTCTTACTACTTTTTCTCCACATTTATTGTTGATCAGGGCTGGACAAGACAGATCCATGGAAACATGGCCTGGAAGAGCAGAACCTTATTGGACTATTACTTTATCTCAAAATGAACCAAACCAAGATGTATCGACTGCTGCATATAGTAGCTTTAATCCTTCAGAATGTGCAAAATAAATAAGGAACCTGTACTACGCCTGGCAAACATTGGTTTCTTTGGTAAGGGAATTTCATGCTTTACTGGCAGTAGGAACACAGACATGACAAAATGGGACACTTCTATATGATGTGCAAGTATCAATACGCCTTTCACTATCTGCAAACTGGAATTACGTGTTCATTAATCTGTTAAAGTGTCCAGTTCAATTCCATTTCTTTTATTCTTATTTGTTCTTTACTGCAGAGGTATATAATTTTGCTTCTTTATATTACTGAAGTAATTAAAAGGAAAATCTCTCTCCTAATCTCATGCACAAAAGCATGGGCCAGGGGACTCACAAAGCCAGAAGCGTTCCACACAGCAGTTTTTTCTTGTTTTTTTTTCTTAGATGCTTCCAATATGAATGACCAGTTGTAGCTCTCAACTGTACCAGTAGGTACAAAAATGTTAAAGCATCCTCTCATTTGTACAGCAAGAAACAAACAGACAGCAGAACACCACTTTCTCTTAGTAATAATATTCCATAAAACTAAAGTAAATGTTAAGGATGAGGTTGTGCATACAAAAGCAAGCAGGGCATGCCTTTTAGCACGTTGTTTCCCGTAAAATGTTCCACCAGTGCCCTCTAAATCCCTCAAAATCTCAAGATAAAGATTGTAAAGACTTTAAATTACATTTTTTAAATAATTGCTGTGGAATTTTGGCTCAATATGTGAATTATTAGAATTGGATATTTTTAATGTGGGATGCCTCTTTCATTTTTTTACAGATACAGACTGTGCCTTTAAAGCATCAGGTTCAATGAAAATTAATGGAATGAAGCACAAAAATTAAATACTCTTATGCAGAGCTTCCAGTATTGGAATGTATCACTGAAAGACAGCAATGAAGCCTAGAATTTAAAATCATAATTAGACATGAAGGATGAGACCATTCAAGAAGAAAGAAACCTCACACAGAAAAGTTTACAATACTTTATATTCCAAGTGAAGATAGCTTTACAGAATCAAGTATCATTGCTTACAAAGGGAAAATTATTTTGAGGTATTCTCAAGATTCAGATTTAAGGCTCAATAAGAACAGTGTCTTTGGAAAGGCCGAACCTGGTAGTCAAGAAAATTTACCACAACATATATTTATCAGAAGGAATTTTATTGCCAACAAACCACAATTGTTGCTCTCGTTCCCTGATGTCTTATTATAAAGATAAAGCTTTTCCTTCACCACTTCTAAAGACCTGTAAATACAGCATTGTAAAAAATTAAAACAACAACAAAAAAGAATTGCAACAATAAATTAACAAAAAAAAAGAAAAGGTAAGGAGGAGGAAAGCCCAACCCACCAAGGAGAAAATGTATTAGAAGCAAAAGAACAGTTATGAAGTGGAATCAAAGTATCATATTATGTTTTTCTTCCAAGAGAAGTTTGAGGGGTTTGCACACGAAATAAAATAGCAGCAAAGAAAAAGGATAAATACAAGTGCATTTGTGTCCCATTGGAACTTGTTTTTATTAACCAAAACAGTAGTACTCATCAGAATCAATTTTGGGATGCTTATGCAGAGGCTGTGAGTCCTCCAAAATAGAAGAATCACTGAACTGGTCCATATCTGAAGGGGTTTGGTGACCAGGGACATCATCTACTAAGGTGTCCAAGTAACTCCCCACTGATATTCCATCCAGTCCATCACTACAGTCTTGTAAACTGTTGCAGCTGCCGTGGAGCGAGGTCTCCTGACTTTCCAGCAAGCTGCACAGGCTGCCACTCAAACTGCTGCCTCTGCTTGCAATGCCCTTCTCTTCAATCATCCACTTGATTGATTCAATACTTTCATTGATGATGAGTAGCTGACGCATAAGCTTCACATCAGTGGCTCGGAGATTAACCTAGAAGGCAAAAGTGATTAAAAACATTACTAATTTTCTTCAAAATCAAACTCTAAATAGCAGCTGGAAGCAATGAGTGGATTAAAAAACCCACACAAAACCCCCACCTTTCACATCTAAGACAAATCTATTTAAATAATTAGTAACAACAAAAAAAGTTAAAGTATTGTTATACTAATACTTTCAATGAAGTTCAAGTGAGAACCTGATCAGGTTACATAAGGGTGCATTAAAAGGGTCCATGCTAGTCAATGACAACACTTGTACACCCACTAGTACAATGCTATTTAGACAAGAAACATAGCTGCTGTGACAATTCTTGGGGATAGCTTTCATTATTCAGAGAAGCAAGACACAAACCCCTTTTTATTTACAACTACTGTAAGCAGATCCAGGCAGTTAAGCATTCACTCCAAATTATCCTTATTATGGCTACTTGGGTAACCTAAAATTTTCAGATGTGCACCATTTGGAAAAACTCTTGTGGACTTCTTACTTTTATTTACACTACTTCTGAGTTTTTGTTGCTGTATAAATGTCTGAGTTCAATATTGAACTTTCAAATTATTTCACCCCATATTAGATGAAGATGGGGAGTTTACAGTCAACCACTTATTGCAGATTAACACAAAGAATGACAATTTGCAAAAAATAACTGAATAAAAATACACATTCAGCACAAAGACTTACTTTCCAACTTAGTTGTGGAAGTCGGCGCCTACACACAAGAGCGCTAGTGGTAAAGCAGAGTGGAATATTACAGTGCCGCATTTCACAGATGTATTTAACTGATTTCATCTTTTCGTTAACAGACAAACTTTATAAGCCACTGTTTTACTCAAAATTTCCACAATGAAATGACACACAAATGTGAAACATAAAGGTTTTATTTGTTGCTTCTTTCTTTTCATCTGAAACATCACAAATGTGGGCAAAAACTTTGCGTGACCTTCTATTCATCACATTAAACAAGTGAAAATACTGAAAAGGCAGTCTGACAAATGAGTTGACCATAGTATCAAGTCTGGAGAGCAAGAAGCTACTTCTATCCATCGTGTGAGAAGATAATGCTATTTTATGACCTAATCAACTCTCCAGCCCTTTCCAACAGCACCTCACCACTACTAAATGTTTGACATCACAACAGACGCACTTCCAGTCTCATCACTCCCACAGTAAGACCTCTGCCTAGATGAACCTTTGCCATAGTGCCAACATAGGGCATGCATATTAAAACCATTGGAAAAAAAAAGGATGCCAGTCATTTCAGATTAACTCAGAGAAATACCATGTCTAGCATGTAATTTGTGTCACATGTTCTTACATCCTTTAATTGTACTAAACAAGGGTACTACATGCAGATATGTCACTGCTTTAATACATGCATTTGGAAAATACTTTGTATAATTATTTGAGTGTACTTCTCTACAAAAATATGTGTGCCATAATGTTTGATGTATACACATATATTATGTGCTTTTCTTTCAGGGGGTACTAAAATCTTAACTTTCAGGTTATTAATTCAAAAAAGGTAGTACAGTATATTGAAAATCTGAATGTCTTCACTCAACTGAAAAATAAGAAAGAAAACATGTAAGATGCCAGACAAGTGACATTTTATGCTATTCTACAAGTCCACAATTATTATACAGAAATATAGTACCTGTATTGTTTATTTACAGTGTTCTGGAATGGTACTACTATTATCAGGAAGCAAAGACTGTATCTTGTTTTGCCAAGAGTACAATCTGGACATGATTCTTTCCATACTCAGATGCCATCCTCTCAACATCCTAAATTACACTTGCCTGGTACATTTGTTCAAAAACTTATTTTAATGTATTTTTATTCTGTCAGTTACTGCAGAAGATTTTACTGGCTCTGGCTGGGATACTTCACAGCAATCAGTATGGTGCTGTGCTCTGTATCTGTGACTAAAACAGAGTCGATAGCACACCGATGTTTCAGCTGCTGCTGAACAGTGATTACACAGCATCAACGCCTTTTCTGTCTTTCACTCTGCACCCTCAGCGAACAGGCTGGGGCTGCGGAAGATGTTTGGAGAGGACAGAGCTGGGACAGTTGATTAGAACTGACCAAAGGGATATCCCCTGTCATGTTGCGCTCAGCAATAATGTTGTGCTCAGCAATAAAAGCCGTGGGTTTGCTTTGCTAGTAGCAGACTGTCTGTATAACTCTCATATGTATTCCCAGTCTCTCCCCCCAGTTCCCAGAATGACTTTGTGAATTATCCTCAGTCACATATCACAGGATTTAACACAGCTAACCTGGGACTGTGCAAAATAGCTTTACTATTCACAGTTTTAACAATACTGCCTATCTATCATTGTTCAGATGTGAGGTTCTGAAAACAGATTGACCATTTCGTAGCCCTCCTGCTCAAGCCAGTTCCTCTAGTCCTACCCATAAATCACTATAAACTATTTGCTCAGCAACTAGGCTGTCGTGAAAGCAGTAAATTACCCGACTTCTGAAATGCAACTACAGACTTCAGCAACTTGCTGAATATAAACAAGCTTGGAGACAGCAAATTTCCCAAGAGGCTGATTAAGGAAATGTTTCGCAGAGCTAGCACCAATACACTTCTAATGAAACAGTCCCTTTTAGATAAAGTAGAGATCTCATATATTTCGGATTCAGCTCACAGGAAATAATTTTTATTTGCTCTAAATACACCCACAGCTTCAGCGTTTCTGTGGAACAGCCTTACTGGGAGTAATTCTTCGCATTCCTGCGTAGTTGAGTCCTCCTCCTCCAAGCTACCATGTATTCCCAATTCTCCCATATCAAAATTGTGCTTCTCCTAAAGCAAACATTAAAAAGTAGTCCACCAAGTGTCATCTTCCTTTAACATGGGTTCATCATCTGCTTGATAACACAAAAATGTCACTATGACGTTTCTTCCCTCTTACCCCAATTAGTTCATACTCACACAGCTGTAACCCCTGTAAGTGTTGGAGTAAAGAAGTCAGTTCTGAGACAGTTCAACTAAAAGGACTAAACACTTTAAGATCTCACCGTGTTTGACAGCTCCGATCCTTATATACAGTAACAGGTGCATTTCAGATATACTCTGGACAGAGTGTATCATAGCTGATGTAGGTGTATCAGAACAGTTTCTACAGCTGCTCTTGGAGTTAAAGGTAGAGCACAGCACCACCATATCTATCAGTCCTCAGGAAAAACTTGTGGTGTACAGAGGAAAAGGATTGTGACAAGAGAGCAAAAAACGAAATTCTGGTCACAAGCTAGCTTTTATACCTTTTTGCGTAGTTTGTATAATCACAATAGTGCAGATCGCCAGGAAGGATCAAAAAAGTTTAACATTAAGCAGCTAGTCACAGCAACAGAAAATAATGAAATTAAAGTTACAATATCTTTCAAGTAACGCAGCCTGGTAGCATAGGTGGACAGAACAGCCTGATCTGTCACAACCTGGACACAACCAGATCTTCAGTCTGAAAGGGTTAAACGGCCTAAGCACCTCTCTGTGCCTCCCTCCCTCTCATACTGGTTCTTCCAACAAGGTATTTTTTTCCTTACACAACTAGCCTTGCCTGTGGTCTTCCATAATAGCATGTGCTACATTGTCATAACTTATTCAAGAGATTGTACACAAACATACCTCTGAAGTGGGATATCAAAATGCAAGGTAGGGTCTTTTTCTTTCCCAATAAAATACCAAACTATCAAGAGGAAATGGCCTCGAGCTGCACCAGGGGAGGTTTAGATTAGATATTAGGAAAAATTTTTACGCTGGAAGGATTACCAAGCATTGGAACAGGCCGCCCAGGGAAGTGGTTGAATCACCATCCCTGGAGGTATTCAAAAGTTGGGCAGCCATGGTGCTGAGGGACATGGTTTAGTGGTGGTTTTGGCAGTGCTGGGTTGATGGTTGGAGTTGATGATCTGAAAGGTCCTTTCCACCCTAACAATTCTATGATTCTTTGAACATCTGTGTACATATATGCATACACAGTTACATCCAAATATGCATGTTATTTTTATATATACTGTGTTTTTAAAAGAAGACTTGACTAGGTTATTGATTTTAGAATGGAACTCTTAATGATCAGGGCTGTTAACAAAGACAATTATTGCTTCCTGGCAGTCACCCAAGATAGTGCGTTAGCTGTCCCCAGCCTGGTCACTTTGCTTTTGGATCAAAGTTGCACTCTGCCTACGGGCAGAATGGACTTGTGTTTTGCTGCTCCATGTTCTGCAGACTTTGCTTCCAGTCACCTCCAAACACAGTGGATTCCCTTCCCCTCCAAAAATGACAATGCTAGACATTCTGTTCAAGATATCATTTTAATCAGCCAAAGTTGTATGCAACTCTAGTTTCTTTCTACTAATCTAAAAGAAAGTAATCTCTTTCTTTTAGATTTCTGGAGTCATATGCTGCTGCTGCTGCTTCTTTAAATTACACGAAATCTGCAGGGATATTAATGGTAACCACAAAATGTGGTCTGAGGAAAAGATAATCTTAAGTTTATTTAAAATATATTAGTTTCATTTTTCCTAAACACCTTTATGTTGTGTGCTGTAAAGAGCCCACTAGTAAAAGGAAAGGAAATAAGTAAGCACGAATAACAAGATATTTCTGTCAAGAGCCACTACAAGATCCAAAATCTTAAACTTTCAAGTTAATGGATTTGGGGAGCTATTTAGGTCACTCAGCTCAAAAGCTCTGCTCTGTACAGGATCTCAAGCAGGATTCAAACACTGTTCTAGGGTTGCTACTATGGAATCTGTGTTTCTAAAGGAGCATCATTTTGGACAGATATTCCACAACAAATAGATGTTGGTTGGAAACAGCAGCAAAACACAGGACCTGACTGAAAGCTGCTCAGAAGTTCAGTGTGTGAGCAGTGCTGCAGAAGAGAATTAGTACATGAAGAAGTTAGATCAAATGGGCACTGGACCCAACTCAGTGTGTTGTTAAACACTGCCATGCCCATCTCTATCACCCATTTTAG